ATGGGAGGGATTGGGAAGAAATCAAGCTGGAGGGGTAGTGACAAAGAGATCTGGGAAATGGCTACAACAATGGGCCCAAATCGAATCAGAGCCTGGAGATATTCACGTTCCCCATGAATGCTTGCAATGGACTGAAAGTCTGTGTCTCCCTCAAATTCATATGTGGCAATCCTAACCCTCAGTGGGATGGACTAGAATGTGGAGCCTTTGGGAGGTGACTGGGTCATAAGCATGCAGCCCTCATGGCTGGGAATACTGCCCTTATAAAAGAGACCGCAGGGCTTCCCTGGAGGCGCAGTGGTTGAGAGTCCGCCTGCCGATGCAGGGGACACGGGTTCATGCCCCGGTCCGGGAAGATCCCATGTGCCGCAGAGCGGCTGGGCCCGTGAGCCATGGCCGCTGAGCCTGCGCGTCCGGAGCCTGTGCTCCGCAACGGGAGAGGCCACAACAGTGAGAGGCCCACGTACCACAAAAAAAAAAAAAAAAAGAGACCGCAGAGAGCATTCTTGCCCTCTTTTCATCATGTGAGAATACAATGATAAGCTGACAGTCTGCAACTTGGAAGAGCGCCTTCACCTGACTTGACCATGCTAGCTCCCTGATCTCAGACTCCAGCCTCTAGCACTATGAGAGGCTGTCCACAGCAAGGGAATCCATAAACAAGACAAAAAGACAACCCTGAGAATGGGAGAAAATATTTGCAAACGAAGCAACTGACAAAGGATTAATCTCCAAAATATACAAACAGCTCATGCAGCTCAATATCAAAAAAAAAAAAAAGGGAAGAAGACGTAAATAGACATTTCTCCAAAGAAGACATACAGATGGCCAAGAAGCACATGAAAAGCTGCTCAACATCACTAATTATCAGAGAAATGCAAATCAAAACTACAGTGACGTATCACCTCACACGGGTCACAATGGCCATCATCAAAAAATCTACAAACAGTAAATGCTGGAGAGGGTGTGGAGAAAAGGGAACCCTCTTGCATTGTTGGTGGGAATGCAAATTGATCCAGCCACTATGAAGAACAGTATGGAGGTTCCTTAAAAAACTAAAAATAGAATTACCATATGACCCAGCAATCCCACTACTGGGCATATACCCTGAGAAAACCATAATTCAAAAAGACACATGCACCCTAATGTTCATTGCAGCACTATTTACAATAGCCAGGACATGGAAGCGACCTAAATGTCCATCAACAGAGGAATGGATAAAGAAGATGTGGTACATATATACAATGCAACATTACTCAGCCATAAAAAGGAATGAAATTGGGTCATTTGTAGAGACGCGGATGGACCTAGAGACTGTCATACAGAGTGAAGTAAGAAAGAGAAAGACAAATATCATATATTAACACATATATGTGGAATCTAGAAAAATGGTATAGATGATCTTATACCATTTTTATGCAAAGCAGAAACCGAGGCACAGACGTAGAGAACAAACGTATGGATACCGAGGGGGAAAGTGAGGGTGGGAGGAACTGAGAGATTGGGATTGACATATATACACTATTGATACTATGTATAAAATAGATAACTAATGAGGACCTACTGTATAGCACAGGGAACTCTACTCAGTGCTCTGTGGTGACCTAAATAGGAAGGAAATCCAAAAAAGAGGGGATCTATGTATACGTATAGCTGATTCACTTTGCTGTACAGTAGAAACTAACACAACATTGTAAAGCAACTATACTCCAATAAAAATTAATTATATAAAAAAAAAAGAACTGTGAGAGGCTGTTGTTTAAATACCCAGTCTATGGTATTTTGTTATAATAGCCTGAACAGACCAAGACAATGCTCTTCTGAAGCCTCCACCCTCCAGCAAAAAGAATCCTTAGAACTAGGGGCAGGAAGGCTGCTCTATGGATACCCAGTCATTCTCTTCCCCAGGCAGCCTGGCACTTGCTCAAAAGGCTTATGGACACACTGGCCTTGGTGCCGGGGAGAGAATGTGGCGTGGCCTTGACAATACCTACTCCTGTCATGGCCACCCTGACTCCTGGCCCCATTGAGTATCAACTGCCAACAGCAGTGACCCACCCTGAGGCCCTGATTCTGCATCACACTTCTAAGTGACCAGCCAGCTCCCTGGTGGAAAGCTGATTACGCAGGGCCCTTCCTCCAGAGCACACAGTAATTTACCCTCACCAGGACAGACGTATACTACGAACTGTCATGCCTCCCAGCCCCCCAAACCACAAACTTACTTAATGCCTTCTGTACCACACAGCACCACCTCCAACCAACCAACCAACCTCTCTGCAAATGAAATGAAGCAAGGTCTACTCGCCACAGGATTCTTGGTCCTCCCACAAACCTTATCAGAAGCAGCAGCAGGCCTTCTAGAACTCTGCTGTGCTGCCCGCTAGAACACCACGTCTTGCAGAGCTGTGGGACGTGATGCTTCTCCTCAGAGCCGCAGTCCAGGGACTGAGGGATCAGGGATGAAGATGACATCTCCCATGTTTATACCCCGCGAGCTACCCTTAAGATTTCTGCTTCCTGCCCCATGTTGCTGAGCCCTGGCGATCTGGAGATTTTAGTACCCAGGAAAGGATGCTTCTATGAGTGGGTGGCATAAGAGGATGTGTGGCGTGCCACCAGTCCATTTTGGGTTTCTTGGGCTTCTAGGGAACAGCATCCTCATAGGTGGGTATGCAGAGGAGGACAGACGGTGGGGTACCCTTCCTTAGGGGGTTTGTTTGTGGCTGGGTCTGTGGGCTGGAGGCCTCCTTAGAAATGTGCATGTGTGTGTATGTGGTGTACAAACACACATGCATACACACTGGACAAATGAAAGGTGCATTTAGCAAGTTCCCACCAGGGTGGCTGCCTGATTCATCTTAATCCCCCTGTGAAAATAGTCCTTAGTGTACACAGGGAACCCAAGCAACCAAGTCTGTACTAAGCAGCTCTGTCAATTCCCCAGGCTTCTGGAATTCTGTAAGGCCCTCTGGGGACGGGACCACAGCTCTGCATCCTTGGTGCCCAGCACGGTGTCAGCACAGCAGGAGCTCAATAAACACCTGCCCAGCAGTCAGTGGGATGGTCAAGGCAATGGTCTAGAAATTCTTTAGCCAAGATTCCCAAAGCCAGCCTGGCTCCAGCCCTTCCTGGATTTTCAACTCTCTCTTGGATTCCTTGAGATACTCTGACAGTCTTCCAGTAAGTTCTTGCGTCACATAAACTAGGCAGTCTTGCTTTTTGTTTTTGTTTTGTTTTTTTTGGCTGTGTCGAGACACGAGGGATCTTAGTTCCCCGACCAGGGATTGAACCCGGGTCCCCTGCAGTGGAAGCACGGAGTCTTAACCACTGGACTGACAGGCAAGTCCCTAGTCAGTCTTGCTTTTAACCAGTACATTTTCAATACCTACACAGGACTCTCCACCATCCTAAAAGGAAAGCTATTCTCCTAAAACAAGAGGCCCCTTCAATCGGCCAGGTGAGGCCTCTCAGAGGTGGTCAGTCTGTTTCCTCGGTCCTTGGGCTTCTCCAAGTCTGTGGTCAGTCATGCTCTGCTCCTCAACACCTTTTTAACTAGCCACAGAGTGTGTCCCAGACCCCTTGGAAATCAAAGCAAAGCTATAAATGCTCTCCCTAGAAAAAAAGCAACACACACACAAAACACTGTGTGACATTTTAAGGGTTGTGGGGACTCCAAGTTAAGAACTTATGATCCTGTGACATATAAGAAAGATATATCTTGTCTCCCTCCATGGTTCCTGGCTCACAGCTCCTGAGCGCTAAGAGTAATGCGAGCATCTTTTGTCACAATATTTGGCCTCTTGTCCTCAGTTCTGAGTTCAGAGCCATAAAGGTGAAATGGGTATACCTTATTATTCATAACAAGCCCCTTTCTGTCAAAACTGGGTTTATGTCAATGAGGTGACTTTTGCAAAGGACCTAAGGATGGGGGCTGGTCGCCAGGGGAACCAATCATGAATAGAGGGGTGAAACTTTCAGTCCCTCTGGGCAGGGGAGAGGGTTGGAGGCTGAATCAATCACCAGTGGTCAGTGATGGAATGAATCATGCCTAATTAATAAAGCCTCCATAAAACCCTAAAAGGATGGGTTTGGAGAGCTTCCGGGTGGGTGAACATGTAGAGATTTGGGGAGAGTGGCAGACTTCAGAAGGGGCATGGAAGCTCCGTCCTTTCCCCATACCTTGCCCTATGTCTCTTCCAGCCAGCTGTTCCTGAGTTATACCCCTTTATAATAAACTGGTAACCTAGTAAGTAAAATGCTTCTCTGAGTTCTATAAGCAGCTCTAGCAAATTAATTGAAACTTAGGAGGGGGTCATTGGAACCTCTGATCTATAACTGGTTGGTCAGAAGCACAGGTGACACCTTGGGCTTACAACTGAAGTCTGAAGTTGGGGGGATCTTGCAGGACTGAGCCTTCACCTGTGGGATTGGATGATTCCTCCAGGTAGGCAGTGTCAGAATCGAGTTGCATCGCAGGACACCCATGTGGGGTCTGAGAAGTGCTTGGTGCTTCAGGGAACCCCTCCACCCGCCCACCCACATGCATGTTGGAAATTGGGAGCAGAAACCTTTTAAAACTCTTACTGAGCTTGAGTCACCTTACTCCCCCTCTCTGAGGGCTCCAACCAGAGTCAGTGACACTGATGGCTGTCAGACACACCCTGGGTGCAGGGGCGGGGGTGGAGGTGGGGACGACACCTGGGGAAGGAACTACTGGCAAAGCTGCGTCCTGAGGCTACACCTCAGGCTGTGAAGCAGCATTGTTAGAGATGTTTTCCTTCTCTAAACAACATCTCCATTTTCAAGGAAACTGATGTTTCTAAAAGGTCATCTGGTTTGGCAGCCCTGCAGCGCCAGAGGGCAGAAAACTGAAGGCCAGAGAGGAAATCTGCTCAACCAGTAGTAGCAGCACCGGATCCCTCAGCAGGCAATTAACCTACTGAATGAGAAGAGCATTGGACGCGGCACCCACGGCGCTGTGGGAAGGACCACATTACCTTTGTCAGCTGCTGCTCCGAGGAAAACCCCAAACCAAACACCGTGTTGGCTCTGCTGTCGGCCCACTGCCCAAATTTCTGCGATGTTTTGGTGAAAGTCATATTGGGTGTGATTGTGCTGTTTATGATCACCTGCAGCGAAACAGCCCAAAGAGTCGACATTTAAACACTGAATTAGACACCAAAGTAACTCCTTAAAAACTCCTCTGTTGGCAAAGCTAGTAGGTAAAGCCTGCATCCCCACTGTTATATCTGGTCCTGAGTTCTTCCTCTCCTGGCACATCCCACGCTGAGTCATATACACACAACCATGATAACAGGCAATTTCAGAGACTTAAAAACAGACAGTCAGCCTAAAATAAGATCTCACAGGTTATCAGTGGGAGAAAGTCTCTCCTAAGTAGAGAACAGTTTCCAAAACTGCTACTTATTTCCCCAAAGCTGTTGCACATCCGATTGCCCTTAACGGCCAGCCATGTCACATATCCTCTGAAGAACCACGCTGCCTACCTTTTTAAGTGCCTGGAGCCCCCGGGGTCCAGCTCAGACCATTTAAAATTTCCATGAGCAATGGGGGCTTGCTGCTTCCCCACGGAAAAGAAAAGGTACACTCTAATTGGGATAACTTGTGGAGGGTTAATTTACAGACTAATTAGACAGGTGTGAGCTGGGTGTATGGACAGCACAGGGACCTGGTGCTAGCTGCTGCCACCTCTCCTTGGCTTTAAAGGATGAGGGGGTGAAGAGGCTATGGGATGTGGAAGGAGAGAGTCATGGAGCACAGGCTGCCTTAACGAGAGAGGAGACCTTCTGTTGAGGGACACGCCAGCACATGGTGACCTCACAAGAGGGGGAGCCAGTGGGAAAAATGCCCTCGCCTCTGCCTTTCTGACTTCCCGCCACTAGCCAAACCCAACCAGAAGCCAGAGGCCCCGCAAGCCCACTGATGTCATCTGCGGGTCAGGCCCTCAGGGACCAGAGCAGGGTGAAGAAGAGTAGAGGATGAATGTGGAGGTGAAAGGATGATACCCAGCACACAGTACATTCATTCACTCAACAAACATTCAGTGAACATTCACCATATGCCTGGTATTCTGCTAACCAAAGGCACAAAGAGGAAGGAGACAAGATTCCTGGTCTTCAACTTGCAGGTAGTCACGAAGAGGGTAGAGACGTGTAAGTAATCACTGAACAACTGAGCAGTGTTATAAAGTATCAATAACAGGCTCACTCGGCAGAAATCCTTGGCAGCCTGAATACTAAACACTAAATTACTGAAGACTAAAAAACTACTTATATCAGCTCTTAAGCCTTACAACAAGCCTATGAGGTATGACTACCACCTTCATTTCACAGGAGAAACTGAGTTGGCAAGTAGCAAAGCCTAGAGGTAAAACGCAGATTGTCTGACTCAAAGTCCTGTATTCTGAACTTCTGTATGACGTGTTTCTCCTGTTCTTGCCCCAGCTATGAAGTACTGATGCCTTCACCGCACTCCAGGTTGCTTTTCCTTCCTGTGCTAGTCCCTCTCATTCCCAAGACTGTGTGAGCTAAGACAATTTTATCGCATGTTTTTCAGATAACTGAATGCAACAGTTAGTAAAGAGCTCTGCCTGCTGTCACCGGACACTATCAAGAAATGGGGGCAGGGCTTCCCTGGTGGCGCAGTGGTTGAGAGTCCACCTGCCGATGCAGGGGACACGGGAGAGCCAAGTTCAGGACATTGATCCACCAGAAACCTCCCGGCCCCACATAATATCAAGTTGGGAAAGCTCCCACAGAGATCTCTGTCTCAATGCTAAGACCCAGCTCCACCAAAGAGCCAGCAGGCTCCAGAAAAAAAAAAAAAAAAAAAAAAAAAAAGCAAGACAGACAGCTGGGGCAATCAAGCCATTAAAAAGTGGTCAATCCCAGGACCCTCTTCTTTCACTTCCCACTAACATGGAAACTCTGTCCTGTGCTACCCTTGGCTCAGTCCACCAACACCAAATCCTCCTGAGAAGTTGGGCAGATCGAAGCTTCTAAGGACACATTCCTTCTGTGCATGTTCCTCTTGGGTTCCCAAATCATTTCTGGCTAACTGCGCTTGCACCTGGAATCCACCTTATTGCCTGTTTCTCTTTGAGGCTCTGACTCATTTCTGACTTTCACCCTCCTCAAGCATGCAAGAAGAAGTGAAAGGAAGTGGACACATATGACCTTTTGTCTACTCTGGGTCTGCTACGGTTGAATGCCCAGTGCAGTTGTGTGAATGGGAGGGATATTCTGGGGGTGGGGGGTGAGGAGATGGGACCTGAGGGAGGCTTAGTTCTGGGCAGGTGAATGGACCCCACTCTTGTGAGACTGGAGAGAATGAGGTAGGTTGAGTTTGACGGACATAACTACAAGCTCAATGTCACTAGGAATGTGGAAACTGCATTACCATTACTACTATATACTCACCAAATTCAAAATATGTCTGATGATACCAAGGGTGGGGGTGAGGATGTGGGGCAATGGGTGCTCTCACATATTGGCAAAATCACTTTGAAAACTAATGTGGCTTTCTCTGATAAAGTTTAAAATGCACATTCCCTACCACCCAGCAATTCCACTCCTAAGTATATATCCGAGAGAAACCTTTGCATAGGTACACAAGGAGAAATGCACAAGGATGTTCACAGTAGCAGTGTTTGCAAACATAAATGTCCACCACCAGCAGAATGGATAAATTATGGTATATTCATACAACGAAATACTACCTAGCAGTGAAAATTAACCAAAGCTATAGGTATCAGCACGGATGACGACAAAAACTTAAGTTTAAAAAAAGTCACAAAAGAAGACATACAGTATAGGTCTCCGTATGATTCTATTTATGTAAAAATCAAAAACAGGCATAACTAAGTAATATATTTAGGGCAAGGGTCAACAATTACAGCCCTCAGGCCAAATCCAGCCTGTTTTTGTAAATAAAGTTTTATTGGTACACAGCTTCACCCATTCATGTACATATTGGCCTCTGGCCATTTCCTTGCTATTGATACAGAAGAAAAGTTGATGAGCTGTGAAAGAGATTGTACATCTCATAAGAAAATTACTATCAGGCCCTTTAGAGAAAAAGTTTGCCAACCTCTGGCTTAGGGATATATACACAGGTGGCAAAAGTATAAAGAAAGGCAAGGGAATGTTTAACACGAATTTCAAGAAAGTGGTAACCTCTTGCAGAGTGGACGGCAGGTGCCTCTATTAGGGAGAGGTCCAGAAAGGGACTTCTGAAGGACTAGTAAAGGACAGACTTCCTCAATTGGGTGTTGGGTACATGAGTATTTGCTTTGTTATCAGACATTAAATGGCACAGATAAACAGTTAAAAATAAAGCACATGCAAAGCTATAACAAAGCTGTCAGGGAGACGAATCCCCCGTGTGAGCAGAAGCTTGTGAAAAGGGAAGGCTGTGCCCTGTGCATGGCAACACTGGAAAACTGCGTTGGGAGCAGAGGAAGTGGCTGGACCTGTGGGTTCTGGCCTCAGGTAAGCGGGGGGAGGCTCAGCAGACTCTGGGGTCACAGGAGTGGAGGATGTCACCCAGCAGAGGGGACAGAGTTTCAAGGGAAGAGGCCTGGGTAGAAAATGACTTTAGAAGCACCAAGGCAGGGCCTGAGGAGTGAAGGCATGCAGAAGCCAGCCAGGACAGTCAGGAGGGAACAAGGAAGAACGAGGCCTTGGGTGTGGAGAGAAAGGGCACGCGTGGGTGTTCGATGAAGCAGAGGGACTCAGTAGGACCAGAATTGGTGCCTCCCTGGGGATTTGGGAAGGCCGGGGGGTGGGGGAGGAGCAGGGGAGCACCCTTAGAAAGTGAAGCTCAGAAGGATGAAGGGGCTGCTTTAAAGCACAACCTTTAATATGGGCTCCCGACCCCTATGCCCACCTCCTTCCTCTTTTTTGTGAATTCTCTCTGAAACGTTCATGGAGGAAAAAAAAAAGAGACTGCCTAGTAAAAGACTCAGTTCCTGCAGATCACTGGATTCCACTTCTCAGACAATGCACAGAGCACATGCAACCAAGAGGTACCTGGAAGAAGCAAAAAGCTAAGCTCCTCCAGTCCCTAGTGCAGCTCTGGCTTCAGAGGAAGCTGGAGGCAGGCCCCCTGGTTCCTATTCAGGGCAAGTCGCCAAATCCACGGAGATGGAAGTCAGAACGCAGAAGAGGCTGGGGATGAGTTACAGCTATTAAAAGACTTGTTGCCTGCTTCCAGAAAAGGTATTAATAGATGCTTTTATTCTTTTGTTTTAAAACCATAGTCAGGGAAGAAGACCAACATTCATTGAAAATCCTACTGTGTGCTGAGAACCTTCCATATGTCTGCTCCCTTAACAGAAGATGCTCTGTAATTATCCAAAAGGGGAAACTAAGGACTTCGCTGGAGGTCCAGTGGTTAGGACTTCACCTTCCAACGCAGGGGGTGTGGGTTTTATCTCTGGTTGGGGAGCTAAGATCCCACATGCCTCATGGCCAAGAAACCAAAACATAAAACAGAAGCGATATTGTAACAAATTCAATAAAGACTTTAAAAATGGTCCACATCAATGAAGTGAGAGAGTGGCATGACATTTACACACCACCAAACAAATGTAAAATAGATAGCTGGTGGGAAGCAGCCACATAGCACAGGGAGACCAGCTCGGTGGTCATAGCACAGGGAGACCACCCCACCTAGAGGGATGGGATAGGGAGGGTGGGAGGGAGAGGCAAGAGGGAGGAGATATGGGGATATATATATATACGTATAGCTGATTCACATTGTTATACAGCAGAAACTAACACAACATTGTAAAGCAATTATACCCCAATAAAGATGTTAAAAAAATAAATAAATAAATAAATAAAAGTAGGCCCTTAAAAAAAAAAAAAAAAACAAAAGAGGAAACTATACTGATGGGTGGAGGAAGGGACCCTGACGGTGTTCTTGAAACCAATTTCACATTCCCAGATAAAACACCAAACAAGTCAGAGTTTCAGAGGCTTATATCCTCCAAATCGTTGTGATTAGGCAGAACACAGCGGGTGCTGCTAAATATTTGTAGAATGGATGACCTCTAAGGTCTCTTCCAATATAGACTTCTGTGATCCTATAAATAACTGAGAACCCAGGGCAGGGGAGCCATCCAGAGCACCCGGGAGAAACACCTGCTCCAGGCAGGTCTTGTCCACAGGTGCAGGCAATTCCTCATAAGGATGGCAATGATTAACTCAGTCTGTAAAGAGTGCCAACAGCACAATGAAAGCAAGTGCTGCGACTGCTCAATTAACATATGCTCTGGAAATGGAGTCCCTCTATAACGGAGATGGTTGTTCCGCACAAAAACTCACCATCAGTCACACGGCTATTGGTTGCGGCTGTCAGTGATGTGATGGCTCACATCAGCGCTCTGGGAAGCTGGGAGACGGGATGTGCCCTCATGTGGCTCCCATCTGTCCATGCACAGGGCTGACCCTGGGTGACACTCTGAGGTTTTGGTCCTGGTTTCCCTCTTGGCGGTGATCCTACTCTTGCCCACTGTCCCGCTGTGGACACGGCACACCTCCTGCAGGCCTGGAGAGGATGTGGCCAGGCCTGACCTCGTCACCCACCCATGTCTATGGCGTGGCCCACTCTAGCTTGATGCTGAGACTCCAAAGATGGGCTAGGCCCGTTCCTCAAAGAGCACAGTCTCCTGGTAGCCCCCCCACGCACAGATATGGATCCACAGAACCCCCAGGCAATGCTGGAGCTACGCACCACAGTATTTCCACCCACGTATGTCTTGAGCAGCAGCTGCGACTGACACATGAAATACTTCCCTTGGAAGAAGGAAGGAAAGGTCTGCACACAGATTTTTCCTATGATGAGCAGCACCAGAGGCTCTCAGGGGAAGGAGAGGGCTTCCCCGCATCCTTCCCCAAGTAGAGCACGACCGACGCTCGGACAGGGCAGAGGAGCTTGCTATGCCTGGTGTGGAACGACAGCTGCTAAAGCTGCTGGCTGCACCTCCTCCCTTCACGGGGGGCCCGTGCTCTGTGGGCTGCCCGCGGTTGACTCAGCGGCTGAGTCCACTGTGGTCTTTGCTCACAACCACCTCCAAGTCCCTTCCACACCAGCAGCCTGTTCCTGAAGCACATCTACTCCTTCATCTGGGAGGGGCAGAGCGGGCTTCCCCTTCCAGACCGCAGCAGCCTCCCACCTCGGGAGGGACAGCTGGCCCAGAAGCACCAAGCAGAAGACGCGACATGGCCAGGCCAGGAGAGAGAGGCAGGACCGGGGGCCCTAGAACTGCCCAAGGTCAGAGGTGTAGCCCATGGGCCAAGACACCACCCCAAAGGCTAAAAGCATCTGACTGTCAGTCGTCTTAGTTCCTTTAACATTTGGAATCAAAGGCCTAAAACCAAGTGGGGCTGTCCCAACGTGGTGGAACGCAAGGATGAGGATCCAGGGGCAGGGGTGGGATGCAGAGGGGCAGCGGACAAGGGCCCTGGGACAGCGCGGCACTGGCATCAGGTCAGCAGACTGCGCCCTACTCCAGCCCCTAGGGAGGAAGGAGACCCATCTGGATTATTGGGGCAGGGCAGAAGCTGGGGCTGGGGGGATCAGGAACTCAGCCGTGGGTGGCAAGGAGGAAGGTGCAGAAGACCGGGCAGTGTCACGAGCTGCTACCACTCTGGGGAAATCACCATCCGGAGGTCCTTCTCCATGTCTCACCTGACCTGTGGAGCAGCTGGAGGCCCAGGATCTGACCTAGACCTGGCCTGTTGGTTTTGCACATTGTTGCTGAGCAGCTCCAGGTAAGGTCCAGCTGAGCTGAGGAGGCCTGGGGGCCACTGTCTGGTATTCTGTGCTCCAGTTCTCAGCGCAGGACAGTTGCCACCCCCCCGCGGCCCCAAGTGCCAGGCACAGGCACTAAACAACTAAGGCTGGTCCCTACCCACTCCCCTGGGCCTTATGCTGTGTCACAGGACACTCCCTTTCGCAGAACAAGGCCCCGTCACAGTGCCTGTGCCCCGCTAGTAAGGCAGGAACTCTGGGTGGGCTCCTGGAATGCCAGGTGGTGTGGCACTTAGGAGGCGTGGCCAGAGGGCCGCGGGCTCCATTGCTGGATTCCAGTGGCACCCCACAGCCTGGGTTCCCAATTCCCACTTTTTTTTTTTTTTTTTTTTTTTTTTTTTGCGGTATGCGGGCCTCTCACTGTTGTGGCCTCTCCCGTTGCGGAGCACAGGCTCCGGACGCGCAGGCTCAGCGGCCATGGCTCACGGGCCCAGCCGCTCCACAGCATGTGGGATCTTCCCGGACCGGGGCACGAACCCGCATCCCCTGCATCGGCAGGCGGACTTCTCAACCACTGCACCACCAGGGAAGCCCCCAATTCCCACTTTTTAAGTGACTCCGTAACTTGATGGTTCCCCCGCACTGAGCCGGAACTAGCTCTATTCTTCAGCCGGGGGATAGCCCACCCTCCTCCACCCACCTGATTTCTCAGAGCTGGCTCGTTTGGCTCGGACCCCACCACTGTCACAGCCTTCAGGAGCTGCAGACCCGTACAACGCAGTGGCTGACACATTGACAAATTACTCAAAGCCCAGCTAATAGGACTAAAGCGCTTTCTCTACGAAAGTGCATTTTATCTGTATTGAAATACAGATAAAATGCACTTTATCTGTATTTAAGCCCACTCTGTCCTGGGATAACTCAACTGACAAAAGTGCAAACCCATCTCAAGGGATGCCAGATGAACTCACAGAATCTACAGATGAAAGAAAGCAAGTCAGCTTGATTCACCACTGCTAGCAGAACATCCTGGCAAGAGCTGAGAAGATTCCAGCTCAAAAGCACAGAGAAGGAAAGTGGTAATACAATCGCCATATCACCATGTCTCCCAGAAGAAAAGAAATAATAAAGGCATCTTTCAGATAGTCAATCCTCAAACACAAGGTGCCTACCTACTATGCGCCAGGCACTTCTACACTTCCTGAGCGCTCAACAGAACCCTGGTCAGTGGAGGCTTCCCGTGCCTCCTGCTCTGTGGTTGTGGGGTTGTGGAGGGAGAAGCCCACATCCAGGCCCCATTCTACTACCCAGCCCTGACGCAACTCCCCAGGAACGCTGACCTAGAGGCAGATTGCAGGCGAGAGGAGGCCAGTCAGAAGGCTACTACAAAAGTCTGAGCAAGACTGTACCAGGACAAGAGTTATGGCCTTGAAACAAAGCATTAGGTATAAACGTGAGACACTTCAAAGGCAGATTCATTTTACCAACTAAAAAGGGAACAACTGTGCTTTTCCATTTCCTTCTTTCTTTCCGCCCTCCCTCCCTCCCTCCCTTCCTTCCAGCAACAAGTGACTGGGAAGTGAAAATGGAGAGGTGGTTTAGAGGGCAAATCGGGGAATTCAGCTTCAGATACACTGAACTTCAGGTGACAGCAGATTATCCACGTAAAAACGTCCATCAGGATGAACACAGATTAAAGACAGAAAAGAAACTATAAAGCATCAAGTCTACTTTTTTTTCTTTTGTAAACTTGGTGATACATCTACTGATAATCCTTCTTTATTCTGCTCCCATCATAATGTGGCAAAAATATTGAGGAAGACAGCAGAATAATGAAAACACCAGGAAAAAAATTATCTCAAGAAATACTCCAAAACCATTTAATAAAATTCAACTCCCATGCCTAATAACACCAAAACCAGACTAGTTACAATACCCAATGCTGTCGGAGGTGCAATAAACTGGCATTCTCATACATGCTGGAAGACAGAACTCTTCGGAAAGCCATTTGGTAATAACCATCAAGAGACATAAAGCGTTAATATCTTGACCTATAACATTACTTCCATAAATCTATCCTAAGGAAATATCCAAAAAGCAATAGGCATGATGACCAAATGAGGTTATCTGTTTCATGAAGATGCTCATTATCTATAATAGTAAAAAACTGGAAGCCACTTCAGTATCTAACCATAAGGGGAGAGATTAAGGACATTATAGGTCCTTGGTGGAATTATTAAAATAGCATTAAAATGCTACTTATGAAGACAGTGTGCTAACAGGGAAATTTTTTTTAATTGGCCATAATTTTAAATGAAAAAAAAAAGCGGGATCTGTGATTATAAAGACATGATAACAATAACATCTCTGTTAAGGTGGCAGGTTTTGGGGTGCACCCTTTCCCCCCCACTTTTCAAATGTATCGTATTGCTTTTGATGAAAATAAGTGACTTCAAGTGAGCCGGCAAGATGGTACCTTGGCTCCATCCACACTGATGATCCGATAGCTGTTCCTTGTGACATCATAGAAGTAGGAGACTGTGACGGCCTGCTTGCTCGCAGGCACCCAGTTCTTCTTGGTGTTGGGGTCGATCTGGAAAACGTGGGCTCGGGTGGTGAAGATGGGCTGTTCTCTGCAAGAGGAGAGATGGGCGAATGAGTTGATGGAACTTTATGTATAATTTATGATTTCTAAGCCACCTAAGATTTTAATCATTTATGAAGATACATACGCCTGAGAACAATTAAAATAAGAAAAGGGAAGAGAGGAGAAAAAAAGAGACACCAGCAGGAGTAGTTACTGAAACCCAGCACCCTGAAGCTGCGGGGCAATTGGCCTAATGAGAAATTTGCTTAAAAGGCAACTCCCAATCCAAGAACATCGTGTATCTCTCCATCTGCTGGTATCATCTTTAATTTCTTTCATCAGTGTCTTATAATTTTCTGCATACAGGTCTTTTGTCTCCTTAGGTAGGTTTATTCCTAGATATTTTATTCTTTTTGTTGCAATGGTAAATGGGAGTGTTTTCTTAATTTCACTTTCAGATTTTTCATCATTACTGTATAGGAATGCCAGAGATTTCTGTGCATTAATTTTGTATCCTGCTACTTTACCAAATTCATTGATTAGCTCTAGTAGTTTTCTGGTGGCATCTTTAGGATTCTCTATGTATAGTATCATGTCATCTGCAAACAGTGATGGCTTTACTTCTTCTTTTCCGATTTGGATTCCTTTTACCATAATTCAAAAAGAATCATGTACCACAATGTTCATTGCAGCTCTGTTTACAATAGCCAGGACATGGAAGCAACCTAAGTGTCTACTGACAGATGAATGGATAAAGAAGATGTGGCACCTATATACAATGGAATATTAGTCATAAAAAGAATATACGGCCTTTATTATATTGAGGAAAGTTCCCTCTACACCTACTTTCTGCAGGGTTTTTATCATAAATGGGTGTTGAATTTTGTCAAAAGCTTTCTCTGCATCTATTGAGATGATCATATGGTTTTTCTCCTTCAATTTGTTAATATGGTTAATCACATTGATAGATTTGCGTATATTGAAGAATCCTTGCATTCCTGGAATAAACCCCACTTGATCATGGTGTATGATCCTTTCAGGGAAGGGGAAGGGTAAGCTGTAACAAAGTGAGAGAGTAGCATGGACATATATACACTATCAAACATAAAATAGACAGCTAGTGGGAAGCAGCCGCATAGCACAGGGAGATCAGCTTGGTGGTTTGTGACCACCTAGAGGGGTGGGATAGGGAGGGTGGGAGGGAGGGAGATGCAAGAGGGAAGAGATATGGGAACATATGTATATGTATAACTGATTCACTTTGTTATAAAGCAGAAACTAACACACCATTGTAAAGCAATTATACTCCAATAAAGATGTTAAAAAAAAAAAAAGAGGGAAGAGATATGGGAACATATGTATATGTATAACTGATTCACTTTGTTATAAAGCAGAAACTAACACACCATTGTAAAGCAATTATAATCCAATAAAGATGTTTAAAAAGAAGGCAACTCCCGGTGCAAGAAGGCAACTCCCGGTGCGGTGTTTTTGCATCTCTGTCAAGTGTCCTATTCTTTTTCTGACATCCTGTTGGCATTTTTAGGATTTTGCAACAAATTCACTGGGGAGCGGGGAGGACTATGCAACAGTTTTAGGATTTTGCAAACCATTTGTGACTTCATATTATATTTCTACTAAATACTTCTCAGATTTGCAGCATTTTATGAATGATGCATTCATTTATAACTGACCAAGCCTTAAAGTTTTATGTTTCTAACTTATAAATCTTTGGGTTTTATGTAATGTTCATCAAATCTATCTCTTTTGTTTATTCTTGCCTCTGTATTGTTGTTGCTTTTTCACTCACATGCCTGTAAATTCTTCATGCAATTATTAACCGAATTAGCACAGTATCTATGTTTCTTTCTGTTGAGTGAGGAATTAATTAGATCTTGACAATAAGCACTAATAAGGCAGGTGGATAAAAATTGTAATGGATTTCACTGCATTTCATATTTTAAGGTATCTACTTCACAGAGTAACACAAAATAAATCATAGACTCATTACAAAATATCATTTTTTTTAATATAATTATTTTTGAAGAAAGGGTCTTCAGGCAAACTGGCTCGAAAATCCTTTTAAGTGGTCCAAAATAAGACAAAATGGTGGGGGGGAAGCCAGCAGGATGTAAAAATAATCCCATCATTCGTAAAATACTATAGATTTAATAAGCACTTATTAGAGGTATAAAATTAAATCAAAATCAGAAAAATTATTTTTTTTTAATCCTCACAATGTCAAAGAGATGACATAAAAGGACACCCAAGCGGAAACAAAAAATAAAATCAAAAGGAAAAGTGAATTTTAAGTGTTCCCGTCTCTCGATGGAGTGGTTTTAGGTAAAGCTGTCTTTCAACCCATCCTGGCTATAGAAGGCTCATTAAAGAGAGAAACTTTTTCCTAGAAAAGCAAATTACTATTTATTTGAGCCTCATGCAAGGAATACTGAAGAACACCACGAATACTGGCATTAACCATCAATTGTGGTTGTAGATAAACGCAGAAACTTTTTCATGACTATTTTTCTGAATCAATAAAAGCCAAGGGCATGCTCTTCCTGCTACCTCAATGCAGCTGTTTCTAGAATCCAGCCTTCCAGATGGACACAGCCCAGCATTCCTAGCCCCCTGAAGCTTCCCTTCTAGGTCCCAGGAGCTGGGCAAGAGCCTCTGGAGTGTGGATCACTAGGCCATTTGTCTTCCCTCAACAGTGACCAAGTTCACCCACCCACTCAATCCTAAATCAACACCCTTCCAGCCGCAGGGTGACAGCTGTAGAAACAAAAGGAATATTCTCACTGTAATTTCCTGCATCTGTTGTCGAGAGGGGCCAGCCCATGGGGGAACATGTGTGCCTGTGAATACCAGCCCTCCTAATCAATCCACGTGGGGAAGCCTGACATCTGCATCCCCCAGCTGTGCTACTGCAGCCCTGGCACCAGGTTTTGCTTATCATCCAAGTACAGCACCATAAAAGAAAGCACTTGCTCACATGGAATAATTCTGCATATTTAAGAGGAGGGAGCAATTGAAAGGGCAGGAATACAGAAGAGGTTTTTAAAAGAACCGAATTATGCAATGTGTACAAATATTGAATCATTACGTAGTGCACTTGAAACAAAATAATGTTAATGTGTCAATTATACCTCAATTTAAAAAAAAGAATTGAATTATGCTAAAATCTCTGCCTCTCTTTTACAGAGCACTACGAGGTGGACAGGGACCCATGGTCACGCAGGAGCCCTCCCAGGGGAAGGGGCCAGACTTTCGGTTCTTCCCTTGTGTCCTCCACACCAGGGAAGAGGGACTGGGTCTAGGTTTTAGGACCTTTAGACCAGTGTTTCCTAAACCTCTGAGAGGAATTAGCTGGGGCATTTAGTAAAAATACAAATTCCTGGGCCCCAATCTATCCCGGCGGGAACCTGGCTGTCCAGGGATGGGGCCTGGGTAGCTCTATTTTTAACAAGAGCTACAGGTGATTTTTATCCTCTAGGAAGCTGGGGAGATACTCACATTATACACTATCAGACACTCTAGAAATAATGGGAGAAGTCACCCCTACAGCTGTCATCTCCTCCAGAATGACAGAAACGACTCCAAGACATCCTTCCACAGCGTGAAGGGGACAACAGAGGGACAGAGAACAGGATCTTTGGGTGCAGAGGCTGGGGGGAGGGGCACGGAGAGGCAGAGGTGCTCTGGTCAGGACAGACAGCAGCCTGTGGTGGTCAAGCAGCGACCTTCTGCAAGTGCTCTGTGTGCCTGAGGCCCACAGGAGCGAGCGAGTGAGGAAAGCAAGGTGGAGAGGGACGGTGGGGGAGGGACGGGGAGACAAGAGAAGCTGGTAGAGATTTCTGACCACGGATAAGCCAAAGCCACAAGTCATCTGCTTGGCATGATTCAGGTCAAGGTGAGCATGCAGACAAGAAGGACCCCATCTCCAAATCTGTCCGCTCAGCTCTGGGGATGGAGTGACGCCATGGCGGGACCCCAGCCAGAAATGCAAGGACGTTGGGAGACATGGTTGGCTCAGCTGGCCATACCCTCAGGGGCTGCAGCCCTGGTTCCGTGGTCAGGCCTCTGCAGGGGAAGTGGCTGCTCCAGCATGGAAAGAGCACAGTGACCAGGGAGGGAGACCCACAGACCCCATGCTGAGGGTGGGCACTATGGGAGGAGACACAGCCCTTCTGAGGTCAAAGACCTGCGATCCTCAGGCCTGGGGACCGGGAGGCCAGCTTGGCACAGCTTTGAGTCCAGAAAACCACCCACAGTACTGGGATTTCCATGTGAATAACCAAGTCCTTGGCCACTGGAGAGTTCTATTTTATTCTTCTAAAATTCAAAAATCGAATGGTATTTAAAGAAAAAGAAAAAAAGGGGGGGATGGAAAGAAAAGCCAGTTAATATTTAGCTGATATTTAGTTTAAAGCCAACTAATATTTACTGAGTATTTACCATCTGCCAGGCTTCATATATGAGCTCTCATTTAAGATCCCAATGATCCTATGGGGATCCAGGTGGGGAAACGGGGCTCAGAGAGGCCAGGGACCTCGGCCTTGGGTTACACAGTTAGTAAGTGGCAGATCTGAGCTTTGAAGTCAGTTCTAAGTGACACGGACAACCTCCCCCCCCTTAGCCATTATACTCTCTTCCTAAAATAATACCTGTCTGTAGTAGGCAGTTCTGATGTGACTCCTGTGATCCCCTGTGTAATCCCCTCCCTGTGAGCATGGGTGGGACCTGTGACTTGCTTTTAACCAACAGAATATTGTGAAGCTGACAGACAGGAGGTCACTTTGAGCAAGTGACAGAGGACTGTGACTTCTGTCTTGCTAGCAGACTCCCTTGATTGACTCTCTTACTGGCTTTGCTGAAGCAAGTTGCCATGTTGGGGAGGACCATCCCACAGCAACTCCAGCCAGAGAGGGTGACCTTCAGCCAGAGAAGAACGGAGGCCCTTAGTCCAATATCCTTGAGGAACTGAAATTCTGCCAACAACTGCTTAGAAGCTTATCTGTCCACACTCGAGCCTTCAGATGAGAC